TGTATACCAATATGTCTGATGGCTGCCGCCTACGACTTTTTACGTCTTTCTGATATCCGAATCTTTTTCATTGAGAGCGTTTGTCGCGTGAAGCGACTCTCACTTTCTGCTCTAATCCTTTATCATTTACGTATTCCGGATTTAATAGCCGTACGGTGGCGAGATCTTGCAATCAAATATCCACGGACAAAATTTGTTGAGGATTTATAGAAAGGTGAACTTGATTCTTCCCAATTGTAAGGTAGAGGATATTTAACTTATATTTGCTTACTTGCCCTGTCAAAATATCCTGAAGGTTCGCTTATATTTGATTGATGAATTATGTCAGAGTTTGTGGAAATGACAACCTGTGCATGTTTTTATGAGACTGGTTTCAAAATTTTCTTATGCTCATCTTATGGATTTTATGCATCATACATGTAATTCTTCGAGGTTTATTAACATCAATTTGATTGCTAAGTCAAATCATTGAAATAATCTCAATTGCTTTACTGTGATTTACTCGTTGTGCAATTTTTTTGTGATTTATTGCAGTTGTTGTGAAAGTCGCATCGTTTAATTTCATTCCATAAAAATATTGACGGATAAAGTTCAAGAAAGTAACTTTTATGAAGAAGAAACAAGCGAACGGATGAAATGCTTGTCTCAACTAAATAAATTTTGAATTTGCTTGGCATTAATCCTTTCCAAAACTGTCATGAAACTTCAGTCTTATTTCCTCTTTTCGTTCACAGCAGCAATACGATATCAAATTTCAGATAATCTTCGTGCTATAAGAAGTCCGGTTGCTGATATGCGTGATTTATCAATCAGCAGACCCAAATCAGAGAAGTAATTAAAAAATAGTGACCATTGAGGGCAACCACATTCGTAAGTTCTCGATAAAGAATTCGAATGGTGAATTCAAATGAATATCAATAGCTTCGAGTATGTTTGAAAAAAATTTATTTGGTGAACTGTCAATGAAGACTTCGTCTGAGAGAATAAAGGAGATTGCATGTAGGCGATCGGTACATCACAAAATCGTTGCCTGCATTACTGTACATCCGAGTAGTGGAGGCTCATAGTCGGCGAGACGTACGTTCTTCGGTCGATCGCCATTTTTAATGATCATTCTCAACTGATATAATTTCTGAAAAAAAACGTTTGTTTTGATTTTGATCGATGTGAATCATTCATTCATCTGGAAACAACCGGGCAACATGAAAACTAAAAATTAGCATTGTTGTTTGAGGATTTCAAATGATGTCAATAGTGAATGTAAGTGATCGAGAATTGGAATGGTTGTGATTGCTATCTGTGTTAAAGTCATTCTCACAATTGTCTTTTTTCCTCCAAACTTTTGAATAAAGTTCACTCTGAGAATTAACTATTTCATTGTCCACAAAATGGAAAATTTTCAGTACTTTCTTCTCTACGAAAACAGTCAAAAATTATGAATTCACAGATAAGTGAAGTGAAATTACTGAACGATTCGAACAGTAACCACTTACCCCATTGTCAAGGAACGCTGCACCATCGCGCATGTCGACGTTCATCGTGAAATTTCGAATGACACCCTTCTCCAGTGGACATTCCATCATTTCACAACCATCTAAATCCTCACTGAAAAATTTCCGAGTGTCAAGAAATATATTTTGAAATAAATTGTCGCTCAAATAAAGAGGAGACGAACAAAATAAGTTTGAGTTAACTTGAAAACTTTGAGTTAACTTCGCAACACCAAATTTGTAGACGAAAATTTCATACGTGAATCCGAATGTTGGGAACGCTTCCCATCCGCAATCACCGCTTTCGAGCGGCTCCCACACATAAATTTCAATATCCAACAGCACTTTCGTCACCTAAAAGGAGGAACACAACTGAGATTGAATAAAATTATCATATCTGAATTTGCTCATTCTGGCCATACAATAGCATCAATCGTTAGTGGCACATCCTTATTGTTAGGCACTGATCAGAATACACGGAAATGTAGGACAGATTCTGAACCATTCACTACTCTCAAATCAACCACGACTGAATATGAAATATTATTCCTGCAAATCTATGAGGTAGTTTATACTGACGATATACTATGTCACCGGCAAACTCAATTGTACGCTTCAATCAAGTTATTGTATTTATTATTGCTCTCTTGAATGGTTGTTCAAACAGATGCATTGTTGCTCTTGATATATCAGAATCGAGAGATCTGGCATCGATAAAAATTTGCGCCAACAGAGTTAGGAACCGAAATATTTTTTCGTTGGCTGTTGCAAACACCCTATCGACACTCTCCCGACGAACACCAACAAGGTAAATATTGACAATGAGCATCGCTCGGCGGTCACCGAACTTCTGTTTTCCGTGACTGTCGACCATTCCGTTTTGATCTTCGGAAATACTTGAAACAGGCTGAACATTTATTTACCTTAAGAGCAGTGTTGTTCATTGTCATTGTGAGCGATAGCGTTCGACTTAAGTCAAGTGGATAGTGATAATTTGCATCATGCGTTATGTTCATCGATGATATTATCAGAGATCCATTTGGCACTAAACTTCATTGTTTTATTACAGTGATCATAGTGAAACGCTCCATTTTTTAAAAATGTTTCAGTTAAACATAATGAATTGATCAAAGTATACTTTATTGAATGTTTACAGCTAGCCTTTTACGAAATATCTGTTTGAAGAAATTCGGAGGGATGCTTCAAAAAAGACTGTAAGAATTCATTTTCCTAATGCCATCCATCATTCTAGCAAAGTAATTTCGAGAAATGTTTCGTTTTCAGATCATGCAAGTGACCATTCCAGCAAACGGAATATGTCGTGCAGGTCACGGCTCACATTTTGTGTGTCATTCTTTGTTCAACATTGACGACAACCTTGAATGATAAATGCCTAATTGAAACGCAAAACTCACAATCATGAAGGCACGAGTAGTGATGAAAATGCGATGCTGTTGAATTCGGGAATGTGTCAGTTGTGTTACAAGTGATAGCGAGAGCAATCTCGGGAATGACAACGAGCACAACCAATAATTTAAGCATATCTCTCACTCACCACCTGAAACTATTCATTTAAATGCGTTCTTATCAGTGCAGTGGAAATAGAACTTTTCAGTTTCAGTCTATGAAACACTGAGGCAAGAAATAAAAAACGAATGGAGTTTAACAAAAACAATGTTTGCCAAAAAAATGAACAAGTATGAATATACATCGCTCAATTACGTATTACATAAGTATCACAAATAGAAGAATGCCGTTTATGAGATCCATTGAAAAGTTAACTCCGAAAAGAAATTCCAAAAGTTGATGGCTTGATGAATACATCGATTCTTTTTCATATCAACCAATGATCATCGTGGGTTTAGTTGACAGGGCTTACGATAAGATAAGTTCAACAGAACAGAACGTTGCTGTGCTACAGAGATCACTGGCAAGACAATAACCGGAAGGCTACCCACTAGGCTCATTAGTACGAGAGAATATATTGAGGGTGAATAGGCGGCGATCTAAATGCAACTTTTCTTTTGAGCATTAATCTGAGCCATACGATGATGCATTATATGTGGCTGTGTAACGATGTTAACATCGTGAATTACACTATACTCTGTTCACAGTGCTCCGGAGTCATAGCCGGAGCGCAGCAAAACAAATATGCATCGCTCAATATACATCGACAGAGCTGGGTCAATTTTTTTCGAATTAGGCATCACTGGTCATCAGTTAGAAATTATATGCTACAGATTATTCGAGAACAAAGAAACAATGGAGGATTGGTTACGAAGCAGTTCGCTAAAAGTGCTCGAAACGCTTTATGTGCATTGATGTTTAATGAAAGTGCAAAAAATCGACGAAATTTTGAGCCGAATCTTTTTGCTGCCAAAAAAACGCACATCGATAATTTTTTGATAGATACGTTTTCGTTGATGGAATTTCATTGAAAGTTTGACTGAGAAAAGAAAAGTTTTAGTGCTGAGAAGAGAGGATTGATGGATCTTCTTTAGAATGTTACACTGGAATTCGTTTCGATGATCACTATGTTTTGATATTTGAACCGATTACAAGCGCCTGTTTTGTCTAGGAAAACCGTTTCTAGCGATCACGCGATTTTGATGACATCATATCAAAATTGGTGTGACTTTCAAGGCATCGCAACTGATGAATACTCTTTCTCCACTTCAAAAAACCACCTTCTCCCAGGAAGCGTGCAACAAACGTGAATGTTGATAGAAACCGGCATAGTAAATCATAAGAAAGAGTGATTTCTTCACAGTTCTTTCATGTCAGAAGGATGTCAGGATCGTTTCAGTGTTTAAGTGCAACTATTAAAAAACTTGATAAAAACATTATAACTGATGAAAATTTATGCACTTGTACCAAGAGTAATTGAGTGAACATAGCTGACTCTGAAATATAGCGGAAGATTAATTCATTCTTAATTCTATTTAAAACAGACTCTAACAATGATTAATGCTGAGAAAAAGTATTTTCACGTGTCACACTGATTGATCTTTTACAAGATGGAAGTCAGATCTGAAATTGATGAATTCCATTTCCAAATGACTTTTC